GTTTGGGTGTCGCTCAGCAATGTACTGGAAAATACTAAACATGTTTGTATCGGACAAAAGTATGATTAACGCCATGTGTTTTATTTTGTCTTTAGAGATAAAACAAGATTTTAAAAAAATAGATATAATTTTCAAAACTGTAAATAACACACTCAAGACAAATTAATATACACTGGTTTTTAACATGTTTGAACTTTTGCACCAATTAAATGTGTGCATAACTATTCCAAATTATATAATCTCTCGTAGCATTTGTGTTCACATTTGTCCAGTGAGGTCAGAGATCATGTACCGTGTAGGGGTCTGCTTTCCCATTTTAGCTCTGAACGACATCACACACATTGAACTAGGGTGATAGTCTGTCACAAAAAAGTTATTTTATTTCACAATGATTGATATATGATATGGCCAGAATAAAATTGCCCATCGTCACCTTGCTTACCTTGGTATCATTAACTTACAAAACCATCTATTTTTTATGTCCAGTCTGTTGTGCTAGCTAGATTTATACTGAATTATTGAGGAAAAATCTGATCCACAAAGTGTAGCATTTAAACTACTACCAAATCTATTTCTCATGAACAGTATTTGTTAACCAATATGCAAACCATTGTGTGATTAGGAAACATGTTAGTATTGTGCAGTAAAATATATAAAAAAGAACATTATAGATAAATAGCTTTAAATGTATATACTGTATCTATATCACTAAATGTTTATCCATAAATAGACGTATTGGATTTAGTTTTACATGCAAATGTAAGGCACCGATCCAAATACTGATCGTTATCGTGTGTGCAAGCTGCTGACCCGTCTCAATCGTCCCGTGAGAAACAAGAGCAGGGCATTCCTATAGAAGGTAGAGTATGACGTTATGCCCGACACCTCAGTTATGCTCTCTTTGACATCTGCACATAAAATGAAGCCTAATAAGCAACTGTCACAATCTTTGACTTGTACTATAATCTCTGAAACATACCATTTGTTATTTTTTATTATGTAGAAGATCTTTTTCTTTTAAAGTTGTCCGTTATATTTATTCATTGATTTATCATTTATTAATTATCTGCAATATGACAGGATCATATAATCTATGCCGTACTAAAGCCAGAATTATGATAAAACAAAAGTTTAAGTAACGATGTCCATAAAAGAGCCAATAGACATCTTTGATGGATTTGTGCACCTGTTTCTACATAAACATCGCTCAGGTATTAAAGCTGTTTACATACCAGCTTCACATGATTTACGATGCTCGGTGACACCCTTCAAAGTCTCTGACCTCCCTCGCTTTCCCGTGATGCTATTACAGACTTCAGTCCTCACAGCGCGTCGAGATGACACCCGCTAAACACATTCCCCTGACCTTTGCTACGGCCCCTAAACCTCCTCTTCCTCATTACCTCATGCTCACTCTATGTGTATCAAGCAGCGGTGACAAAGCTACTAGTTTTACCTACTTCAGTAAAACTATAGATATACTTTTAGAAACATCAACCTGTATTGAAATTATTCCATTACCAGTACTTCAATTACAAAAGTTACAAAAACGTGAAATGATAGACATACAATTAATCTATCTGAGAGTTTGAATCTAGATGTTAAACCCTTAAACCGTTGTAGCGTTCCAAACATTCCTACTGTTCTATTCTTCAATTTGATTTTTGGCCAAAGCATCACTCTGAGTCTGCAATCTTTTGCAGGTGTTAAGGAAACGTTGGAAGTTCACTGGTGGACAGTGTTTGTCCTTTAGCTGTGTCCTTTAAGACCTTCCAAAGGCTTCCCTGCCGGTTCATCCTTGTCCAAGTTAAGGGACCCTCAGTAGAGGGACCTGAGGGACCCTCAGGTCCTGAGGGTCATTAGGGACCTGAGCTCTCCTCAAACTGCCCCGACATTTAATATGACCTGATAATTGATGATTTGGCAAAAACTAAATAATATTGCCCTTAAACAAATACATTTTGATTTTGATTTATTTTTATTGATTTAATTCTACTTACGCCATGACCAAACACAGTTACTTTATAAGTCAACTAGCTTTAGCCTCAGTATTACACCAAATGTATGAAAGGCTGAATACAATTTGACTAACTTCACCCGGGGTTAGGGTTAGGATTTTTTGAAACCAGGGTTTCTCAAACTGATCAGTTAGGGACCTCTTCAATAAGTGGTAAATCCACTTGCGACCCCTTCTGTCAGAACATATGAACAAATGTTTGGGAACCGCTGTGTTAGATAATAATTAATCTGATGTTTTAATTCCAAATATAATAATCTGTTCTCAATTGTGTTTACACGATAGAAAGACTTGGATCAAGACATCTACAAGGTCCAATTCCACGGCTGTCAGGTGTATCAGTAAGGCAAGCTGCACTACTTAGTCTATTAATAGAACACATGCAAGAAGATAATATGAAAGGGACCTGCTATTTTGGGTAGAGCTTGACCGTTTGTAGTAAATGACGGCATGTCCTCCCCCAGCTGACACAGAGGAGAAATGCCATAACACAAATGCTACACATTACAAGTCACTCGTGTAGAAAACAAGTGTGAATAGGATCACTGACATATCACAATCTGCAGGTTCATTAAAGAGGTTATTAGTAAAAGCTACATATGACATATGTTCCCCTTCCATATAATATTTAACAGTATAAGTAAATGCATTGTTTCAATTCCCCATTGACCGGTGCACAGCAAATATTTAGACATAATTTAGCACTTAGGTCACTTGTAAAAGCCTTTCAAAAAATGACAATGATTTTCTGAATGGCTGATGCCTGTCATGACGATCATTATTTACGATGGAGGAGTGTGGTTAGCTTTAACAGTGAGCTCATCTGGTGCCCATTCATGACAGGGGTTTGACCATAGACTGTGGTTTGACATGCTTTTCCTGGAACTGCACCCCCCCCCCGCTCTCTCTCATCAACACCACAGACTGTTATCAACACTGGAATACAATGAAACAATCTTTTTTCCTTCATGTCCCTGCAATCAGAATGTCCTGACATGCTAGGCACTATTTTACTACACTGATTCGAAATATTCATCAGGCCTAGAGCCCTAGAGAGAGCATCCTTGTTTTTTGGTGGTGGTATTCCCAGTATGTGATGCTTTAAAGGTTTGCTTGTTTATTGTTGCAGGAAACAAACACAGAAAGCTAACACATAAAGCTTGAAAATTATTTGAATATTAATTAAAGTACACACCTAGTCTTCTGGCCGTCTTTTCATGGGATATGTGAGAGGCATGGATCTATAATGGTTCATCAATGACCCAAGGAAAAGGTAGGAATGAAATAAATAATTACAATTGTTACAACATGATATCAATATTTATACATGATTTAAATATGTGTTTTTATTCGGGTTTTTTTTGTATTATTTAATGAGAAAAAAGTTCACTCGTTTTAATACTGAAAAATGATGTGGCTAAAGCGGGTTGGGTTTTTTCCCGATACACCTGAATGCCACATGAACTGTTGGCGGCAGTCGGTGCTTTGAAGTCAGCTACATTAGCCCAGGTCAAGTGGATTTGGTCGAAGCTACTTTTTAAAAGGTATCCATTTTATTTTGCTACTTGCTTATCGACACTTTTCCCTTTAATACGTGAGTGTGTAATTTTCAAAAACTAAATCAAAAGAAAAATCAACAGGATTTGTAATATCTGAGTCTGATTACCGTTTGCTGTTTAGAATGTAATGGGGAGCAGATTAAGCTAATTCGGGATTATTAGGCAAAAACTGTGAATTTTTTCAGTTGTTCAAATGGAAGAAATTCTGCAACAATTGGTCCCCCTCATATGGAAAGGATTATAGGGACATTTTTTTAAATGATTTCTTCCAATACTTCAAAAGAATTGGATTGTGTTGCATGTGTGTATAACTCTATAACATGAGGCAGACTTCACAACATGGCTTCCACTAGTTAGTTATTTAGTTGAGTTCTGCATCCGATTATTGCTATACAGCGAGTTGTCATCTTCAGTCTCCCGTCTACATGAAATATATACCATAACATCAAATTACAACAGTAGGATTAATAAAGCCCTCTCTCATACACTGATCCCCCCCCCCCCCCCCACCCCCCCACACACATACACATACAGCATCATACCTGTACTTCAGAACCATACCTCACATTTACACACAGACAATGCATCCTCTCATTCTCATCATAAGAAATCATTAACCACAATTGTATTTATCACCACTAACCATAAAATCAATACATGCATTTCATTCTGTACTGCATTATAAACTCAGAGGACCACAGTTACAACTTGTTTGACATAAAAGTTTTTATAATATTTCTCTGTGTGTTTGTGTCAGAACAATGAGTGGTGCAGAAGACGACTGGGAGTCCCTGTTTTTTTCTGGCAATAAGAGAACGAAGAAACTCAAATTACGTCCGTCTAACGAAACCACTCAAAAATCAAAAGTACCAAAGAAGAAGAAAAAAGCAAAGAAGAAAAAGAAACATGCAATCAATAATGACGCAATTGAGACCATGAAGAAGAAGAAAAGCAAAAAGGACAAACGTTTAAAACTACACAAGACTTTGGAGAATGATTTTGTGAATGAAAATACAGCTAAAGAACCCAGGAAGAAGGAGAAAAAGCAGGTATCATTTGATGTACCTGACAACTATCGAGTGAAACGCCCCAAATTCTCAGCTGCCTCCTCTGTAAATGAAAATGGCAGTCACGCAGACAACACAAAGCTCCTTGAACCAAGCCAGATCCAACCCAAACTCAGCGACTCTCAAACCACCAGCGACGATATCCACAGCCAAGACCTGTTCATCACCCAGAAAACATTCACAATACCACTGTCGCAAATGTCCAGTGGAGAGACCAGTGATCGAGCAGAGGAGGGCACACAAGTTCTGGGAATTTTTTATAGAGAAACACAAGAGAAAAGTGTCGTGTTTAAGACAAAAAAATGCAAGGAAAATGATAGAAAAAAGATAAAGAGCAATCCTTTCCTGGAGGAGCCCATGGTGGTGTCCGACTCCCTCAAAGGACAGAAGACTGAAGAGAGACCTGTAATAACTCAGCTGTCCCACAATCAACAGCTGAAATCTACAAAAAGTGCGCATACTCAAACTGAAAACTTCTTCACGACTGAGCTCACACTTTATCTCAACTTTTGCAAGGAAAGCCGAAGAAAATCAGAGGAACTGAAACCACTGGACTTAAGTCTTCCTAATAGAGCCAGGATAGACACTGAGATGACTGAGGCGCAACATGGAGGAACTAGTGAAGAAGACGTCATCGAAGTAAGTACAGGAGGATCTGGTCACCTGTCCTTATCTGCAAAGAACAAAGAGAGGACCCCCAGCTCTGAAGACCCCCAGTCTGAGAGCGACAATAAGTCTGCAGATACAACTGTGTCCAGTGAAGATGCAGAGGGGCCCAGTCGCACCGCCAAACGGGAGCTGATGCAGGTGACAGTATTCAGTATTTTCAAGTCTAAGTCAGTGATTATGTTTAACACTATGTAATAACATTGTTCTTTTGTAAACTGTAGTTGTTATTACTGAACATGCATGGCTACAATCACGTACCATGATTATAATGACAAAACTGTTTGTACTGTTGCTGCAGGTTCGAGCTGTTCAGATGAGACTCAATGAATCATTCTTCTTTAAGACAAAAGGAGATCGACCTTCGCCCAGACCAGAGTCTCCACTGATGAAACTGGCTCAGGGCCGAGAGCCCACGAGCCGCAAGAGCCACCGATGAACCACTTCCCCTCACCCAGACACCACTGCCTGCTCTATTCATAACTCATCGTTCTCATTGGCCAAAGCAAATGTAGAATAGTTGGACATGTTACCTTTCACTGCTGTTCAGAGTATATTTGTTACAGTTTTAACGTTTACTAAAATACTGACTTTATTGTCATAATTATACTACTCTTTTTTATCAGATTCATATGGAATACAAACTTGGGTTCATTGTTCCTCTGTTTACAGCCTACACTTAAGGGCAATTTTATAAATGGATATGTATTTATAGAAAACAATTAAATCAATTATTACTTCAGCATGTGTGTGTGTGTTGAATACTCCAACTGGGGAGACATGATTCGTTTTCGGAGGTCTGTGTCTATTTTTGATATTTCACTAATCTATTGATTAACCAACTTTTTTTTTTTTTTACAAAATGCAATTTTATCTGAACATGAAAAAGATAAAGCTGCATGAACGAGTCTGCTTGTGAACATCCTAATCCAGATAGAACACATTTTGTTGCAGTCAGTACATATTTTGAGTTTATATTAAAAAAATTATTGCTATTTTACAACACATAACCATGCAACCCACTAATTCAGGAATAAAAAATATCAGTTGTATTTGGTTTTTAATCTGATTTCAATAATATTTTTGCTTGAATCAAGTGATTAAGGGGGGGCAAGGTACAACTTTAAAAACAACTGGTCTAGCTCACACAAGAATGACACTTTCCCTATAAGCATACAAGACACTTTTTATTGAACACTCCCTTCAATAAATTACAAGAGCCAACACATTCTCTAGTTGTGTCTGAAGAGTTTGATGCCCATCCAGCTCCAGAGGTGGAAGAAGACGTAGACTGGGATGGTGACCGGGAGCAGCAGGCTATAGAAACACACACTGTTACCACTGGTGCAGCCCTGAGGGAAGTTCTCATCCACCGCAGCAGAGTAAAACAGTCCACACAAGGACAAGAAAGGGACAAGCCCCACCAGCAGAGGCAAAGCGATCATGGCTAACTGTGCACGCAATTAGGAGTCATAGAACGCTTGGAATATGCTGTTAATGTCTATTCCATGTGTCTACTCCTGAACGGGTGTCTCTGGTGTTTTCTGAATCAGTCTGGCGTCTTGGGGAATCATGTTAGGGATACCATCGATGACAGGATATGCAATTCCAAGCTCGTCATTTATCAGTTCGTTGGTTTCAGCTTCATACCTGCAATGGAAGAAGGAGTAATTAACCATCTATTATTCAAATTCTGTTTTGTAAGATAACATACTTGGTAAGTGTTAAAATCTCCCTGGAGTTGGGTGATTCTTCACTTAATCTAACTAATTTTGAATGTGTGCATTTTGCTCAGGGCCATTGCATCTTGCTACTTTTGTTCTGGTCAAGTACAGTTGAGAATATGCAGCATTTTATACTTGCTCCTTATTATTTTAAAGTCAAGGGTTTTTGTACTGAATTCTTGCTTCTTCATCATGATAAAGTTGGAGATTTTAAGACTTTCTTTATTGTGCTAAAGATAGAGATTTTGTACTGTATTTTATTTCAAGTTAGAATAGAGTTACTATTAATTTATCTTGTGCTACTCATTCTTACTGTTCTGTAACTTGTGATGCAACACTGAAATTTCACCACTGTGGGACTTAATCTACATTATCGCAGGCACTTTCCAAGCCACGATAAGGAAAAACTTGTATTCTGCACAACAATCAGAGAACATGAAATCATACTTTATTCCACATGATTAACTCTACAAGTCAAACAGTGACTGACAGTGCTCTTCCTCTCATAACAACATGTTTTCTAATAATATGAAGCATGTTTACGCTCTTTACTAAGACAAACAAAATGCATTATTGAGGAAGTAAACACAAGAAGTAATGTCATCTTATATTTATTTATAATTATTATTATTTTTATTGAAATTTATTGTATTCAGCACCAAGTAAAGAAGTAACAGTTGGTAATAAAACAACTAAGCAAAAGTAAATGTCATCTTATATTTGTTTACTAAATGCCAGTTCACCTGAGGGGCTTCTTGGACAGAGGACACACGAGCACTTCCAGCAGAGACGGGTCCAAACTCGTCTGCACACCGTTCTGAACCGGGTCAGTCAGCCCCCGCACCGGGACACGAATACTTTGACCCACACAGCGACGAAGAACAGCTGCTCCCGACGAAACCCTTGTCAGAACATGATAAAACATGACCAGAGATGTCCACCGGTTGTTTTTGCTTGCACCACCGACGCAATCGCATTTGTGTGTCCCACTTCCTGTCCGGGGGATGGCGCGGTCGTTTCAATGGTTCCGCCTTATGAAATGTTTTTGTTTTGTTTCGGTTTTCTAAAGCATGTGTTCATAATTGCAATATATTACACTATAACATTTAGAATTTACGAGCTACTGCGTATACCCCCCTCCCCTTTCCCCATTATATGCTTTTTGTCGTTTTGTCCAAAAGGTGGCGGTGTTGTGCTTTGTACAGATTTCCCATAATTCAACTTCTACATACAGATTATATTATCTTTATAGAGGGGGGAATTCACTATAAATCAATGCATTATGCAGGATGCATGATGGAGAGTCCTATTTTTGCTTGGGTCCATCTACTTGAGTTGTTTGGCCTGGAACGTTCCACTGTGCACCATTAAACTTTCCATTGACATTTTTGGAGAGAAAACATTACTTCATTTAATCGACCCAAGAGTTCAAGTTTTTGAGCAATACAAGTAGTCCAGCATGACCAAGTTGAGGTTCAACATCTGAAGATTGATTTGCTGTAGCAAAAAAATATGGAAAATAATAGGGTTGGGCAATGCATGAATTAAATATGCATAATAATTACACCAATGCTTCAAATGCTTCAGATAAGTAAGTAAAGAAAAAAATCATGCTGCCTGCCTTTTGTTGATCGAAGTGAGTGAGTTTTACTCCTATTTAGCAAGTGTTACGGCCACATTATTGGTGTCTTTCAAATGCCAATAATCACTATCTACAAAACTTGAGATCTTAATAAAAAATAATTCGCACAAATTTACCATAACCCATTATGTAATACATTATTTTACAAAACTCACAGCGGATGTATGGATGTGCGAGAGTGTGAGAGTTAGAGAGTTAGAGAGAATGTAAAACCATATAGGTTATAACTTGCCAATGACACTACAAGCCAAATGGAAAATAAGATCACAAAAGATATAAAGAAAGTAATAGCAGTCATTATTCAACCGGCTGGAAAGTACTTTATTGTATTAGTTTTATGATGGCCAAAGCAATTGTCCTGCATGCCTCATCCTGCACAGTCCCTGACCAAGTCCTGGACTCAAAACAGTTACTTATGATTTAATCCAAGTACTATCGCCCTGCATTTCGTTCAGTCTTATGAAAGTTATATGTCTACACAAAAATGATTTATGCAAAAGTAGTGGAAAAAGTTATGTTTTACTGAGCAATTTGTAAAGTAATCGTTTCATGCATCTTCAAATGTGTGAAAAAACTCTACTGCATATACTTGAAGCTAAAGTTGTAATAAAGTGTTTTTGCCCTTGAGTTATTTTATCTGTTTATAGAGAACACGATTGGGATAGTGGCTTTATATCAGTCCCCATCTCCCTGAGCCTTCCTGGACATGATTTCCCAGCAGGATACAGTATCTCTATACAATATTAAATTTTGTGGTCGAGGGCCTATGCCAAAGCAGAGTATGGCTGTAGATATTGTTCTGAGACTTTCTTGGCACGTCTCCTACTTGTTTGATATTGCCACATATTACCTCCCCTACAAGACCGGACTTTCAATACAAATGTCCACTAGTTACTTTGTGTCACTTTTATTATATTCTGTGGAGTTTTGAGCATGGGAGGTGGGGACATAGGCAGACTAAAACATTACTAAATAATTATACAAAACTATAATAAATCTTCCAACACTCATCATGTGGAGGAATGAAGGGAGAATTAAGTGGTGTTTGTGCGTGCGTGCATGTACGTATGTGTGTGTGTGTGTCTGTGCATGCATGCGTGTGTGTGTGTGTGTGTGTGTGTGTGTGTGTGTGTGCGTGTGTGTGCGTGTAGTTACACCCAGATTCCATTCTAAATGATAAAGCAGCAAGGTAAGCATATTACCTACAAATCAACAGTGAAGCGTTCCTTCTTCCTTCTGTCTAGACGAGAGGTGTCCAAACCTTTAGTGAGAGGGCCACTTTAGTCAACCAGACTTGTTCAAGGGCCGACAACCCGGATTTTAAAACTATTTTGACTGGATTTGGCAGTTCTGAATTTTTGTGATGTTATATCCATATTGATTAGTGTCATACATAGACTTTTGTGACAGAATCAAAAACAAATTAGGTATAACATGCCATGGTAGCTCATATACAACCATACCCTCAATGCTGCAAGTTAATATTAATGATTGAAAATCCTTTTCAATGACACCTGTGATTCAAAGGCTCAAAAGTTCACTTCTGATGACAACCCGAGCGAACAGCGGTGTGCTTTCATCTTTATTGGCCTCTTTCTGGGCGTGCTGCTGAGTGAGCCTGAAAAAAGTCCTTACGGAGCAGAAAGTCACAATTCTTTGTGCAATATCCCCAAACCAATGTTGTCGTCCTATCCCTGACTTGAGTAACTTACAGTGAAATCTACAAAAGTGTCATTGTCCCAGTTTGTAATCAGATTGGCTGATTGACCCAAACCCCCTGTATCCTCACAATACATCACTCACAATGATAACCATTACTGGTTTAAGGTTACATCTGCCAATTACATTTATAAGCATCCAATCAATGGTGATATTATGAATACAGGATCAGGGATTTTAGCAGGAAAGTGAATGGATGTGCGTGTGCTCATGGCTGAGTGGTTAAATCCTTGAAATACTGTACAGTGGTTTTGATGTCCTGAAGGTGAAAAAGAGCTATAAAAATGATTATACATCCATTGAAAATCATCCAAAAACTGTTACTGCCTCAATATAGAAAAAAAACCCATTATGAGGTATTGTAAGGAAAGGAAAAATACCATTGAACATTGTTTACACCACTGCATAATACTTTCAAAAGATGAACATGAGAAATGCATGACTAGCAGAATCATGATTTTGTCCATGGTCGACCAAACAATTTACCCGTCCTCATTAGTCTACTGCTACTACTACTGCTACTACCACTTGAAGTAGAAAAAAGACACTAAAGAGATTATGTGGCAAGACTCATTTTAAAATTAGAACTGGGGTACCTAACTTTCCAACATTTTCTTTCCCATTTGAGAACAGAGAGTACAATGTTAACAAGTCAGACCACACACGTCATACTTTGCATACTTGTAAAAAGAATCACTATTTGATGCTTATGGGCTGAGTGCTGATTGGTCGAATGAGGGGAGTCCTCCGTTTCTTTTCACCTTTCTGCCTGACAAAGCTGATCTATAGATGAGACCATATAATAGACCAATTATACCTGTATGTCAAATCTAGTGATGTATTCAAAGAGAACTTCCCATGAATTTATCACAGTATTATACCATTTAAATATATTTGTGGTTTCAAAATGATTCCCATGCAGCTTTAACATGTATGAGTTATTATGAGATGAGTGTGTGAAACCTTTCTGTACACAACGTTCAATCTGACTCAATGCCCGACTTCCTGACAAACTATCCTCAACATCAACACACCCGAGCCAACAATCTGAAATATAATTTGCAGAGTACAGGGCAGTTGCAGCTCTCCGTTGGCACCAGAGTCTCAGATGATGCCGGTGCTTGTGCCTGATTTATTTAGCCCATGTCATGAGTAGAAGCGCCTCCGAGACTGTAAAAAGGCCTCTCTGTCCCGTCCCTCCCGCTCTGTCCTCTTGTCCCTGTGCACTTGTGTCCAGACGAGGACTGGCAGAGGCCTCGGTGACGGCTGATGGCTGTTGGCAGGACATTAGCTGCTGTGCGCCAGGGTTATTACAGCGCTAATATCGTAGAGCTTTGAGAGCAGGAGGACAAGCTCTCATCATCCACAGCCATCATCGCTAATGCTGCTCAGCACTTCAGCAGCAGTCGCCTCCGCTCTGCTCTGAGCATTTGGGAACTTTTAACAGCACTGACGGCCCACTTCCCCGAACAGCTAAAATTAGAGAGTCAAAAATAAGGCTTTTATGTTATCACGGAAATGAAATCTGGAGGATCTAACTTTGATTTTTTCATGAATTATTATTATCTACTGTCCCCTACTCTGCCCTCTGAGTCACTATTTTATGTTTATGCCTGAGAGTTGATTATCAATCTCCTTTTTTCCTCAATTAAAAACAAAACGGGTATAAAATCAATATATGTTTAATACCATCTGAATTAGACCCAGGACACGATGGAGGGAGTGTGTCTCTCAGCTGGCCTGGGAACGCCTTGGTGTCCCCCCAGATGGACTAAAGGAGGTGTGTGTGGATAGGGAAGTCTGGGCGTCTTTGCTTGAACTGCTGCCCCTGCGACGCGGCAACGGATGAAGCAGAAGAAAATGGATGGATGGACCATTTGAATTAAATATGCACAATGTTTAAGCCAGATACATAGCCAATTACATGACACTTTTATGTAATACCTGCACTTTTTTAATCAATGTTTTTTCTCATATTTACCTCAAGGAAAGATCTTATTCCAGAAAGGCAATACAAATGCACCACAACAATATAAGGTGAAAAGTGTTTATCCCTAAATAGCTTTCACACTGTACCTGTAAACTTCACAATTTGCATTATTCATGGCTCCTCATTACCACTGACCAAAATAACATTTTTGCAGCGGCAGTTTTTCTGTTTACGTAGCTATTTTAGTGGAAAGGTTCATATAATATAACCGTAATGCATTTTTTATGTCTCAACACACAACAATTAATGCCTTTATTTTTAGGTTACTTTTAGAATTTGTGTGTGGCGAATGAAACCAAAAATAACAATGCAACCCTCATTATGATAGAGTTTTATATGCAGATGTTAACAAGTTCAGAGCATACATGGGAATTCTGCACCTCTACCTCTGTCGGTTCCCTGCTGAGCGGAGGCTTTATCCAATTAGAAAGAGCAGATTAGGTGGTTTCCTGCCAGGAGAGCTTTCTTTTTCATTCTCATATTGTGCTGATTTTGCACTCCTGCCTTAATCTGTTAATCATATCCAGCAGGATTTGCCTTTTTTCTCCCCAATCCTTGTTCACCTAAACCCTGT